CACACACACACACACACACACACACACTCATATGTGTATACACACACGATTAAAAAATGAGCTGTGAAGGGAATCGAGACTGACAGCCACACAACGACATAGATGTTGCTCAAGTCCTTGACATCATGACTGTCCTCTAAGGCCACCATCTAATTCTGAGAGGGCAACAGACAGATTCTGCTACATGACATCATCCCTGTTTATTGAGACCTTTGTTCAGGCATGAGCCCTCTGAGGAGACTCATCTCGGAGATCAAAGGAAACCGCAGGAAACTGGTGAGGAGCAAGGATGTGCTTCCTCTCACTGGGGTGGCTGGGGAGGCGGCCAAGTGCAGCCAGCAGCTTCTCCATTGTCTCCTCTCCCTTCGAATCCCAGGAGGGCGGAGACTCCATCCTCCACCACACAGCAAATGCCTGGCAGTCTATGCGCCAGACACATTTGCCGAACAACTGTGGAGTATATTGACAGAGGCAGACCATGGGACCAGGAGAGACCTGAAGTCTTTTTCAGAAACCACATTTTAGGGGCTGATGAGAAGATTCAGTGGGCAAGGAGCTTGCGGCTAAACCTGAGGGCTTGTGTCCAACCTCAGAACCGACATGGTAGAAGGAAGGAGAGAGCCAACTCCTACAAGTTGTCCTCTGACCACCACACGTACACCGGGTGACAAGCTCAAGCACATACACACACAAAAGAAACATACGTAGAAATTTTTTTTTTCTGAAAGAAGCCATATTGTAAGAGAAAACAGGCTATCCCAGAAGAGGAAGAACAGAGTTCAGGAGGGGTCTGAGTCTGAGCAATCAGTGAGACAGTGCAGGGAATGTGGAGCTGACCCTCGAAGTGACAGCACGTGACAGTCATGGTTGCAATCCTCATGTGCTCATCAAAGGATCATCACATTAGAGCTGGAAGAGACCTCAGGAAACTTTGGATCGATCTGCTAATTTTTTTGTAGATGAAGAAAATAAGATGAAAACGGCTTGGGACCAGCACCCAATCTGCTGAATTCCACAGGCCATGTGCATCTTCTTTTCCCTTTTTAACATTGGTGTGTGAGCATATGCGTGCGTGTGTGTGTGTGTGTGTGTGTGTGTGTGTGTGTGTGTGTGCGTGCGCACTGCCGTCCGTGTGCTACATCACATGTGTGGGGGTTAAAGGACATCCTTAGGAGTGTCCTTGTCTCCCACCGTGTCTGAGAACGGTGTATATGCTAGGCTAGCTAGCCCTTAAGTTTCTGGGGGATTCTCCTTTCTCAGCCTCCCACCCCAACATAGGAGAGCTGGGGCTGTAGATGTTACCATGTCCAGCTGGACCTGAGTTCTGGAGATCCAAACTCAGGTGCCCACACCCGCATACCAAGCACTTCACTCAGCGAACCATCACTTCAGCCCTATTCTTTTTTATAATGCGGATCCCCAGTTACATTAAACTCCTTTTCCCACACATAGCTCAAAGAGTTTTCTGAAGCAAAATGGAAATGCAGTCTTCTAAAGTCTGAAATCTATTCCAAAGTAAAACTCTTATTTTAGAATTTAGCTTCTTTTTTTTTTAAAAAAAAAAACAAACCTCTTAGCAAACTTCTCTTATCATTCACTGAAGATTGGGCAGCTCACCATGTTCCCTTTTTATTTGGCTGCCAGGAAGCTTACAGCTAAATTTAGCACCTAATCCTTCAGTAATAGTGGTCTCGATTGTTAGCAAACAGTACTTATTACTCCCCTCCATGCCCTTCTTCTACAACTATTTTAATGACTCGCTTGCATACGTATCTTTTACTGTGGTCACCTCAAATTCTTTGTGGAAGCCAGCCAGGCCTAAACCATCCAGAAACCAAAACAGAAGAATTTCATTTTTTTGTTGGGCTCTACAGTGGTGGCTACCTCCAGGACGGTGTCCACCCATGATCGCATTCATGACCTGAAAGCTCAGACCTTCCCTCACAGCCTCGTGTTGATGTTGAAGGAAGTCGCCACAGGACAGATTGCATACAAATGGCTAGTTCTAAAATTGTAGGGTCTGCCTGCTCCCCAGGCAAGCCCATGGAAAACGTGCTGAAAATGAAAACAAGATGTGAAAGGAGAAGGAAGGGCTTAGCTCCCCACACTGACTGACGTGGCAGAGCTTCACTTACAGCAGGGCCCTCGGGAGGCCAGCCTAGGCTCGGCGGCGTGGCCAGCAGGTGGCCGGCTGGGTCCCATCTACCCTCGAGCTCTCTGCTAACTACAACCACACATCTAACCCTCACCACGAGGGAGAAATGAGATCACGTAGCCTCTATCTCCTCTGGATTCTGGCCACGTAAAAAGATGAAGCCACAAGGCTTTCTCTTCCCTCCCTAAATGAAATTCCTTCTCAACCACAAAAATTTCACCCAGGCAGAATTTAAAAAGCAATAAAAGAGTCCGGGTGGGGTGGGGTGGGGGGAGGTGGGGGGAGGAGGGGATCTTGCCCTCCTGCTCCCTTTTCACCTCAAACCTTGAGTCACCCTTGGTGGCGGGGAGGGTAGCAAAAGAAAGAAAACGCCCCCAGAAAATGTTGACTGTTTATGCATCTGAATCTGAGATGCCTGGTGGTATTTTTTTTTCCCCCACTCTTTCCAGAGTTTGTGAATTAGTTCTTCATTCCTCCGGTGCTGGGCATCATTTCCATGATCATCTAAGAGATATGTTCAGAAGAAAAATGGCTTCCAGGATCCTGTTGCCTGAGGCAATACAGCTTCTCTCTGGCGTCCATTGGGATTCTATTCACGATCTCCTGTGAGTCAGAGCCAATTTGTTCAGATGGAGACAAGAGGATGCTGCCCCAATGTCCCTAACACCTTGAAGAATGAGGCACATCCAAGAATCCATGATGCTTCTTTAGAAAAACCTCAGCGCAGTGATGAATTGCAGGCAGGACGGTTGCCTGACAGCAGGTTCTGTCCAGTCCCAGGCTGCCTGGGTCTTCAGCCTCCTCGAGCTCTTACCTGTAAGCCCTGCACAAAGAGCTCTTCTCATTCAGAGTCTGTAAAACTCAGATAATACTAATGGGTGCATCGTGGAGCAGCTCGGCCAGCCACAATGACATGTACTCAAAGCCAAGCCGAGGGATAGGAGATGGCTTCGTTGATGAAGAACAGGCGGGCCTAAGCAGGAAGACTTCAAAGTTCAGATCCCCGACTTCTGTAATTGCAGCTCTGGGGAGGTGGAGACAGGGGGATCCCTAGGGTTTGCTAGCAGCCAAATCTGCAAGCTCCAGGTTCAGTGAGAGACCATGTCTCAAGGGGGAAAAAAAATAAGATAGAGAGACGCTGGATGTCAACCTCTAGTCTTCACATGCACAAACACGTATGTACACACAGAGTGTAAAGCAGGAAGGCAAAAACACACATTAAAAACACTCATTACTGCCCATGTTTTAGGATTCTGTAGGGCTGACTGAGGTAGAAGAATCTACATTTGAAACAAGTTTTCATGATGCTGTACATCAGTTCTAATACCGGGAAGTTTACGGACCACTGTCAAAGGGTTACTGTAAGGACTGCAGTGTGTGTGTGTGTGTGTGTGTGTGTGTGTGTGTGTGTGTGTGCGTGTGTAATTATTAATAGCTATTTTTACATGGTGTTGTTGACACTGTTGGTTTGTGTTAAGTGATGCCAGCTTTTGTGATCTTAGACATCATAATGAACTTGTAGCTTAACTCTGAAATAATCTACTGTAAATAAGAAACCTCAGCAAACTGGAGGGGGAAAAAACCCTGCTAATTATACAACAGAAATAGCCTGATTTTTAAAAGTGCATACTCAGAACTTGTAAAGAGTTCTAAGAACTTTAAAGTCTCCAATTGGAGGTGGCAAGATGCCTCAGTGGGTAAGGTGTCTACTGCCAAGCCAGAAGACCTGAATTCATTCCCGGGCACATATCGAGTGGAAAGATAAAACCGACTTCTGACCTCCACACATGCCTCCCTCAACATGCATACACAAAATAAACAAAGTAATAAAAAAAAAGACTTAGATTGCTGGGGTATTTTCTCCCCGGACATATATATCCATGTGCATATATTGCAAGTAGAGAGAGAAAAGCTGACCCAGCTACTTCTTAAGGTTTCGTGTTTCTCTTAACTACAGTTGTTTTTTTTTAAGCGCTCAGACTTCGTCATTATGGTAAAAAAGAATTCTTCAACTTGTTTCAAGTAATTAAGGAGCCAGCAAATGTGGTCGTTGCAAGGCAGTTAGAAACAGCAGCCCTGAAGGAGCAGAGGAAACAGACGAACTACAAGACTCGGGACTGTTCAAAACCGTCTCCACAACAAAGGAGATGAACGCGAATCCCTAACCTGCGGGCATCCGGTAACGCCAGGACCAAAGATAAAAAGCTGCGATGAAAGGCAGCCGCGTGGACCGCCTCGTGTAGGGAGAGGGCAGGGTCGAAGGTTAAGATGGTTTCCCAGTGGGAGCCTTTGGCGGTCCTGCAGCTCCAACAGAGACCAGGAAACCCCAAGTCTGCCTCTCCCCCGAGCCACGCACCACTCCCTCCAAGAACAAAACTTCTTTCTAATCAACTTGAGCCAGATGCCGGCTCGCGGGCAGCACGCGGGTACCGGAGCTTGCACGGAACGCAAGCCAGTCCTGGCTCAACATCCAACTTTTCCAACTCCCATCAAGATCTGAATTCTCCCGTGAAACAAGAGAATGAGCTCCAGTTGCCTGGCGATGGCTTTTGAAAAATTAAACAAAGAGCACATGTTTGCAAGAACGCAACCAGACGCCTTGCCCTGACACTTGCGACCCGTAATCTACAAGCCACTTTCTCTGACACTTTTTCATGGAGCTGCATGGGTGTCACCAGGGTGGTCTGCGTGTCTCGCGGGGTGGGAAGAGGTAGAGAGTGGGTGAAACTTGAAATCTGCCTCTCCATCCATCCATCCAGCCCCAAGCCGCCCTTGAACTTGGCACCGGTGCGGGTAGCGAGACGCACGTCCCCAGATGGGAGGGATCCAGGCTGCCACGACTCACCTCGCCAACTTCTCGCGGCTGGCGGCGCGCGGGCGGCCGGCTCGGGGGCGCGGACGCGGTGGCCGGCGCCTAGGGGAGCGTCGGCCGGCGACCCCGGGGAAGGCGTGGGGCTCCGGAGGGCGCGTGGGGACCGGCGCGTGGCGGCGCTGAGGGGCAGCCTCGGGGCGCGCGGGGAACCCGGGGGGCTCCAGGTCGCGGCGGGCGCGCAAGGACAGCAGCGCCAGCAGCAGCACGGCCAGCGCCAGCAGAAGCAGCGCTGCCGCCTTACTGCGGAGCTTCATGGTGCGGCGCGGCGGCCCCGGGGCGGCGCGGACCCTCTGCGCATCGCGGCCCGCGGCGGCGCAGCGTCCAGGCTGGCTCGCCCGGGACTGGGGTCGAGGCTGGCGGCTGCGGAGGAGGACCAGGAGGAGGTGGAGGGGGAGGAGATGAGAAGCAGGGGGAGGGCTGGGAGGAGGTCCGTGTGGACTCGGGTGGAGCAGCCCTCCCTACCGTAGTGTGTGGAGTAGCGGCCCTGCAGCCCACCACAGCCGCCAGGCGCCTAGACCTCAGGTAGCGCAGGCTCGCTACACCTTCATTCATTCACTTCAGTCATTTTGTGAGTACTCATACTCACCCAGGCACTCGAATCCCCTCACTAGTCCACCCAGACATACTCAGACTGTCTCTCTCCGACTCAAGCAAGCATCCACTCACTGAAGACTCACTCTGCCACCCATTCACTCGCTGTCCCACCAGCTCCTTCACTGTGCCCACTCACCCATTCCATCCACCACTCCATCCAGCTCCTTCACGCGTCTGTTTATTTCATACCTGCTCCTGTCCTCCTCCTTGGTTTCATCCATCTATTCAGCTGTCTGGGGCACCAACCCAGTCCCTCTTGACGCAGGGCAGAATTTTTTGCACCAATGAAAAACTGCTGGATACAGTCCCGCTAGATCCATGTACTCTACTGCAATTGTAAAAACGGATTACAAGGTTTAAATCTGAAATCTGACAGTCACTGGCTTGATGAACCTGAGATAAACACAGAACTTTTCCAAGCTTGCAAAATGGGAATGATAAGCATTAAGTTAAACAATCCTTTCAAAAAGAACTGCACAATGTGGGGCTCAAAATGAGGGACCCAGTGGAATTTGTGGCAATGCATACAACAAAATAGTTTATCATACACACACACGTGCAATTCTGTTTTCCTTCTGGTGCAGAGCTAAGATAGAGTAATAACTTCACAATCCAGTGTAAGAATGGACTCTTCAGAGATGTCATCATTGGCGACCACCAGATCTGAGTCAGAATTGCACAGCTATTTTCCTATGGCATCCCAGTCAGGATCTGAAACATGAGGACATTCTCTTCTACTCTGCATGAACTGACAGGAGGCATTCTATAAACTCTCTCTGTGGCACGTCTGTTGGACAAAAAACACTAGGGAATCACATTGTCCCCGGGCTTCCAGAAGTTGTCTTGTAACTCATCTAAAATTTAATTACATTATAAATCATTATGTTAGCATCTGATTACAAGTCCTTGGGGACCCATTGTACTTAAAGTTATAGCAGTAAGGCTATCTAATAAATGGGAGGCTCTCACCATACAAGCACCTAAGAGGTAGCAGGGGCACGGTTGGCAATCTATGTGGCAAACTTGGAAAGAAAGGAAGCAGCTCAAACAGTGCAGTGGTCCTGCCTGGAATGGCTCTTCTTTGCGAAGAGCCCAGGTGTCATAAATCCCACTGTGAAGTGTCTAGACTCGTGGGAAGGATGCTCTGGGTGGTCACAGTAATTAGCAGCTTCTTCTGGCATGTTGCTGACATTGCAGCGGTGATCGGGACACTTGGCAGAGTAAAATATTGACCTGGGCCAAGGGCCAACACAGATACTCCAAGACCTGGCATTTGGCTTTCAGATTCAGAAATGCCATTATTTTGGAACATGGCCCAGTGGAAAAAAAGCTCCCCTGAATCTGCCTAGGTGCCTTCCCACTTTCTTAAGAAGAATGCTGTATGCAGCAAAGACCCAGTCAGGCAAAGTAGGTCAAAGCAATACATCACTGTGGCCAGGGTTTGGGCGTCAAACACAAAGAAAGAACTTGGAACCAATAGACTGAATCAAACAGAGAACATGCTTTTGTAGAAGTTTTCTGATGGATACGTGCACACACATGTTTGTGTGTGGGGGTGCACATGTGTATGACGTTGCACGTGTGTATACAGGTGTGTGTGTGTGTGTGTGTGTGTGTGTGTGTGTGTGTGTGTGTGTGGACTGTGGATGGCAGAAGACACTTGGGCTGTAGTTTTTTAGGCACTCTACACCTCTGTTGGGGGAAGCAGGGTCTCTCACAGGCCTGGAGCTCACCGAGTAGGCTAGGCTGCCTAGGCAGCAAGCCCCAGGGACCTCCCTGTCTCCATGCCCAATGCTGAGATTATAAGAGTGCACCAACACTCTTCAAGGAAGAGGGAAAAGCTCTCTACTCTTTTTTTTTTTTTAAATGTGGACTCCAGCCCTCTGAAACAGCATGACCAAGGCAACTTATAAGAGAAAGCATGTAATTGGGCTTACAGTGTCAGGGGATTGGAGTCCACGATGCCAGAGTAAATGCTTGTTGGTTCCTCTCTCAGCCTCCCAAATCTCTTTCTCCCTCTGGAATATTGACACCTCTAGCTACTGGCTGCTCCTGCCAGAAATTAGACCCATTCTCTTTCCCTCACTTTCCAGATGAATTATCTATGGCCTCATAAGAAGTAGCTCCAGGGAGTAGGGGTGGGGTGGGGGTAGGGGATGGGAGGAGAGGAGGGAGGGGAAACTGTGGTCAGTATGTAAAATAAATGAAAAAATGGTAATAAAATAAAATGAAAAGAGCAGGTCCAAAATAAAATAAAATAAAAATAACAGATCCAAAATATAGTTGGGTAAAACAACGCATATCTGGGTTTTTGTTTGTGTTTTTGAGACAAGGTCTCACCGTGTTACTCCAACTGTCCTGGAACTTGCCATGTAGACCAGGCTGTCCTCAAATTCACAGAGATTCCCCCACCTCAGCCTCCTGAGTGCTGGCATTAAAGGCATGGGCCACCATCCCTAGCTACAATGCATATTTGGTTTCACAGTTTCCGCATGTTGAGAATGAGGTTGGTTGGCCAAGGTGTGCCATCCAATCAGAAGCTTCAGCTGGGAAGTATGGCAGATGGAAGAATCCAGCTTCTCTTGGTCACTGGACTAAGGGCAACTGTTCTTAACTGGCTGGGGACCAGATACCTCCTTCAGGTCCTTGCCAGGGGGGGCTTCCTCTTTCTGTCAAGACAAGGTCATAAAATAAGAGAGACAGACCCTCTTAGCAAGATAAAAGCTCCAGGCTTTTTCTACCGAATCTCAGAGGTGGCTAATCCCATTGCTTTGCCATCTTTCTATTTGTCCAATCCAATCCACACCCGTGGGGAGGGAATTACACAGGGTCTGAACGCCAGGAGGAAGAGACACCTGGAACCCCTGTGAAGCCCTACCTTCCTACCCTCGCCCCCTATTCAGCAAAACAATTCCTTCTGTTGGTGCCCCCTCTCAAACCTAGCTGGTAGCTGTGTCGAACCCACCACAGAAACCAATACCAGGTAGGAACAACCTACCCTGAGCCAACAAACTCTGGGGGCTCTTTGGGACAGTTCTGAGAATGAAAGTCCCCAAGGAGGATGGTTTTAGGATTTCAGTGTTGTGAGGCTCCCTCTGGGAGACTCTTGCAGCTTTTCACAGCAAGTATTGGAGAAAAAGCTCCACCCACTTCTGGCAGGGGACAAGAAGTGTCCATTAAGCCATTTTGAAGCCCACCAGGTCTTCCAAAGAAGGCTTCCCATCAAGAGAAACTTCCTCGAAGGCTAAGTTTATTGGGGTGTAACAGAACCCTACCAACATCGGGGAAGGGAAAGACCCAACTTCAGCCCCTCCCAGTTAGCTTGTCCTCCTTAAGACTGATGTAGGGCACCAAGAAGCACTCGTGATGCCCCCTGCTGAGTGCCACGGACATCAGAGACTTGGCAAGACTAACCTCAGCGCTCCCCAACGCTCCTTTCCTCCGCACCTTGCCAGCACATCCCCAAAGCCACCCTGACCTCAGCTCTTTATGCCCAGTGCAGAATCCTTGACATTTGGCGACAACAAAAACATCCTAAGTCATGTGAAAAGGCAGAAGGCACAGACTGAAGAGACAGTGCCTGTACCAAATGAGTTTCAGATTCGCCGCCGATGTGACACCATCGATGGGATGACCAGTTAGGGACTTCAGACAAGTGCTCTTAGTATCCTAAAAGCTCCAATGAGAAGAGCAGGACAACACCTAAGAACAGGTGCGTGATAAAAAGAAAAAGATGGGAATTCTAAGAACCAAGAAGAGCTGCTGGTGACTGACAAAAATAAAGCCCCTGAACATATATGAAGATTTTTTTTCAGAAGGGTCTCATTTCCTTATGTCCAGGATGGCTTTGTGCTTACCATGTAGCCAAGGATGAACCCTCCTGCCTTCACCTCCTGAGTGTTGGAATTGCAGACATGTGCAAGATCAAGGTAGCCAACATCTTAACAGATGGCTGGCCTCGAACTCACAGAGATCCGCCTGCCTCTGCCTGCCAAGTGCTGGGTCGATATTTTCAATACGGCAGGCCTTCCCAATTGATCCATAGGGTCACACAACTGGCATTCAAATATCAGTATTTTTATTTATGTATTTATTCATTCATTCATTCATTCATTTATTCATTCACTTATTTATTTTAGTGTATGTACATTAGTGTTCTGCCTGCATGTATGTCTGTGTGAGGGTGTCAGATCCCCTGAAACTAGAATTACAGACATGTGTGAGCTGCCATGTGAGTTCTGAGAACTGAATCTGGGTCCTTTGGAAGAGTAGCCAGTGCTCTTAACCACTGAGACATCTCTTTAGTCCCCCAAATACCAGGATATTTATTTGGTGGATATGGACAAAATGCTTTTCTATTTGAATGGAGAGCCAAACGCCTTCAAATAACCAGCTCAGTATTGAGGTTAAAGACAGTTATAGTGTTAATACTTACTATAAAGCTCAGTAATCAATATAGTATGGTATTGGTGAAAATACAAACAAATCAGTACAACAGAATACAGCGCCTAGATGTCAATTCACGCAAATTCCAGGCAATTCAATGGAGTAAAGATTCCTTCTCAACAAGTGTGCTGGAACAGCTGGATTCCCACCACAAAAAACAAATCTAATCACATATCTTACACCTTACACACACACACACACACACACAAACACACACAGAAATAAATAAATAAATAAATTTTTAAAGAGGTATTT